CCCGAGGGAGACCTGTTCCAGCTGCTCTGAGAGAGCTCACAGGGTGGGCTCCCCGGCTGACTCTGTTCCAGACCTTCCAGTCTGTGCGTACACGTGACCTGGAGTTACTGGGGTGAGAGGACGTGCTTAGGCAATTACTGTAGAGCAACCGGTACCTTTTACGTTCGCGCTTTAGCTTGGCCTGTGGCAACATGTTTGTGTGCTGATGTCCCAGTACGCAGCCAGAGAAATAAGAGCTCAGGATGTTTATGCGGCGCAGGTAACTTTGGGCTTACCTGGCTGGCCTCGCTGAGAGACCTGTGGGTCCTTCATGATGCTCAGTGGAGCCTTTCTGTAGCAACTCTCAGACGTTGGAAGGGTCACAGGTCTTGGGGGATGGAAAAATCACGGAGCGTTAGAAAGCTGGGCTGAAGAGCATTGGTGAAAATAATCTGGAAAATGAAACACTGGGTATTTGTCGCAGGAAACAGTGATTACAGAAAGAGGGAATTTGCAGGTCAGCAGAACAGTTTTGTCCAATGGCAAATCTAGAGCTGTGCCTAAGCAGCTAAAGGCACCAGGTACCTTTTTGGGTTGGATTATTGGGAGTCGTACATGTTTTCCAAGGAAAGCAGGAGAGGGGGGAGAGGCAGTCTGACTGACACCTCTCAGTCCGGGCATGCCTCTGCATCGAGCCGGAGCTGCGTGCCCGTCTGGGGATCGCTTGGAAAGTGCGAGAGCCTTCCTCTCCACTCAGCACTGCTCCGAGCCCTCTGAACAAAGACACGGCAGGAGAGCGTCTCCCCCCAGAAGCCCAGCCTGCAGAGACAACGGTTCACGTACAAGAAGGGGCGCACCCACACTGACTCGCTGAGCTGGTTTCGGTGCCTCGGCTTGGACCCTTTGCTTCTCTAGATGCTCGCTGGGGTGTCTGGAGAGCCGCTGAAAGCACTGAGGTGTGACGGTGTCCGCTCTGTCAGGGAACTTAGGCCTCACACTTCCGACATCTGAATGAGAGGGTGAAGGCGAAACATTGCACTAGTGAATTTTCACGTAGATTTTAAAAAAATAATTGCAAAAAGACCTTTTATTTTCCTGGAGTTTTTGTTTCAGTGGAACGCTGGTAGTTGCTCTTCCCCTCAGTATTAAAGCCTCCCATCTTCTCTGTCTTTCCATTAGCGTGACATGGCTGTAGACTTGGATATTCTTAAGCGGCTTCCTTAATTGAAAGACTCTGAAATCTATCTGTTTCAGCGCACGATGAAAACACAAAGAGGGACCCTCCGGCAGATTGCTTTGAAAGCACGGTGTGTGACTCGGAGGTACCAGGAAGACCTGGAGAGAAGTTTTCCAAGGATCCTAGCCCCGCAGTGACATGCGACGGTCAGTGGAATTCAGAAATGATGGAAACAAACACCACCGGGAACGGCCTTGGGGGTGACGCTCGGTATGACCGAGGGTTTGGTGAGCACTTGGATTTCTTTAGCACTCAGGAAAATGGTGTTGGAAAGAGACCGTGCGCGTACAACAAATGTGAGAGAAACTCCAGCCAGCAGGAACGTCTTCAGACTCCCCAGGGAGCCCGGGGAGGGGAGACGTTTCCAGGCCCCACATGTGAGAAGACTCTCAGCGAAAGGGTGTTCCATCTGCTGCACGCGCAGCCGTGTGCTCCGGGCGAGAAAGGCATCGGGCAGGGGGCTGATCCTGCCTCCTGCGAGGGGCTGCCTGCGGGGCCACAGCTGGTGGCCCACACCGAGCGTGGACAAAACCCTGCGGGCGGAACCAGGCTTCGTGACCACAGCGGCCTGGGCGGAGAGGAGCAGCCGTCTGCGGAAAGCGAGGAGAGCTTCCCCGCAGAAAACCCGTTAGCCAGCCCCTGCTGGGATCACCCGCAGGACAAGTCGGAGGCCTGCACCAGGTGCAGGCAGCACTTCGCGCCCAGGGGCAGCCCGGCAAGCCAGCAGCAGAGCCAGGGCAGGGGCAAGTCCTACATCTGCAGCGACTGTGGGAAAAGTTTCGTTTGCCATTCGTGGCTCGTTAGACACCAGATGACTCACACGGGAGAGAGGCCCTACAAGTGCTCCGAGTGTGACAAAAGCTACAGGAGAAAGGATTATCTTCTAAACCACCAGCGCCGGCACTCGGGAGAGGGGCTCTTCCAGTGCCCCCTCTGCAGGAAAAGGTTTGTGCTCAGGAGGAGTTTCATGAAGCATCAGGAAAGTCACGTGCAAGAAACACATCTGACGTTGGCCGGTTGGCCCTGCACAGAGATCAGGGCGTCTGTAATGCACTCCATATAGAAAATCCCATCCAGCCGGGGGGTTCGCAGCCCGCTTGGCTGTCGCCCTTGCTGGGCAGGAGGCAGGGCCGTGGCAGGATCTCCCAGCTCTGTGCTGGACCCTGGAGGGAGGAGGCCGTCGAACAGCTGTCCCGAGCCCCCTCCCAGGCAAAGGGAGAAGGTTGGGGGGTTATTTTCCGCAGATAATCCGCGTTGCAATGGTCTGCGGAGCTGTTTCACAGCTTTCACCGGTGCCCGTAGCTGTTGGGGACGTGTTGGAGCTGTGTAGGAAGTCTGCGGTGCTCAGAGTTACTGCTGGCCGTGAATCCGCGCAGGAGAGAAATCACATCGACACACGGAACAATTTGTAACGCTTCAGGCTGGATATCTGCAGTGTTATCTCTAGGCTGCTGAAAGTCCTGAGTCCAGGGACTGGGCTGAAAACAAGTGAGTTAAAGTTACTAATCGCCCGCTAAACAAGTGTGAAAGAGTGTCAGGAAACACCCACGTGTGTGAAATGCTTTGAGAAAGGAAGCGTTGACCCTGTGGCTGTTTGAAAGAAGCCTCTTCAGGAAGTGGTAACTAGACAGAGGGGAGCAGAGCCTGAGAAGCAGCTTGTTCCCACAGTTAAATCACGGAGCTCCTGGGGCTCCGTGCTGCTGAACACCGAGAGAGGATTCCTGGAGGCTGGGGTCCTCGCCTGGAGTTGTAAAATGACCGGGAAGCCTGGAATATGATTTTAATTTTGCATAGCCTTAAAGTTGTGTTGCACTTACTTGACCACGTTGTTACAGGTCTTCTGCTTCTGTTCAATTTTCCGAATCCTATGAAAACGGAACATTTAGATGCTCGTTAAACATTCTCCTTCGGAAACTGTATTTTTGCTCATATTCAGTGTCTCTTAAGGGGGAGAGCGCTGTTGAGAGTCTGACGTGTTGTGACATCGCAACGACGCAATTCATTCCTTTTAGTAATAAAAGAGTCTGGATATATCATCTGTCACCTTGTTGTCGATGGCGTTGAGCCTCGTGGAAAAAACCATACAGAAGCAGGAGCGCTGGCTGAGTCAGGCAAGAGCCCGTTTTGGTTCAGGGCTCCTTCGCTGTCAGACAGTCGTGACAAATTCTGTTTGTCTTTTTACGTGCATGTTTCTGCTTAAGTTTTGTCGCTGTCAGACAGTCGTGACAAATTCTGTTAAACAGCCTTTTTATGTGCATGTTTCTGCTTAAGTTTTGCTAGGGTGCTTTTTTTGTTGGCTGGAGATGTCACGGTTTTTTTAAGTTGAAATTGTTAGAGAAATGCCGTGGGTCGTTCTTCAGGGGGAGGAGAAAAGATGAGCACGGTTGAAGCGAGAGGAGAAACTCTGGCTCTGCCGTGCCCCAAACCCCCGTTTTCAAGGCAAATCTTTGCGTTAGAAGATGTGGAAATAACCGACGACGGAGAAGGGGGAACAGCGGGTTTCTCTCCGGGCTGGGACGGGGCTCGTCCCCGGGGTCAGCCTGCCCTCCGGGCGGGGGGGGGACGGACTCCGAACGTGCCCCCGTCCCCGGGCCGGCGACGTGCGGAGCCAGTCCCGTGCTCTGGGACAGCGCATCCCCCTTCCCGCCGCCGACCCTCAGGCTCTCGGCGCCCTTCCCCC